GTGTGTGTGTGTGTGTGTGTGTGTGTGTGTGTGTGTGTGCATGCATGAGAGTGTGTGTGTGTGTGTGTGTGTGTGTCAGGAGCTGATCAGGGTATCTCAGGCTCCCCTTGTCCTGTACAGAAGAGTTTTTGGAAGACTCTGACTCGAGTTACACTTGGACCTACAATTCTACAAAAGTTTAAACTTTCGACTTGTTGGACAAAAGACAGACGGGCGTCCAGAGGAGACCGGAGAGGTGAGAGACACGATCTCGCAATACATTTACAACAGTGGAGGAGAACTTACGTCAAAATAGAAATAACTTTATGAAATATGAAGTATGACTGTACTGAGAAACTTACATTTCTGAAGTTTTAAACTACTGTACCAAAACAAAATGTTGAAAGTATACGCATATGTTCTAAAATTGGTATTGGAGTTCCTTTTAGAAAAAAGTGCTTATAACATTTTTTTTTTTTTAAAAAAGTACGTGGAAGAAAGTTAAACTGTGTGTAAAAGTACGAACAACTCAAAAATGCCTGAACAATAAGTATTCAAAAATTAAGAGAAATGTCTTGCAGTTGTAACTCTCTAATCAATTAAAGAAAATGTAAAAATGGTTAGAAATGTTCCAAAAAATTGAAGCAGAGCTCAAAATTTAAAAGCTGGAGTATTTATAAGTTTAAAAACAAAATCTCTAGTAGTCAAACCAGTACTCAAACAATTAGTTTAAAAGAAAAGTTTAATATAGTAAAATATTTTCTAGTAAACAAAAAAATGTAAGTAAGTCTCTGTGAAAAAAGATGGCATCTTAAAGCATGAGCCTGTGTTTATATGTATATTTTATTACCTACTCGTATTTTTGTTATCTACTTGTATTTGATTTATTATGTCTATAACAATGAAACAAACCCTTCAAGAACAAATGATACTTTTCAGATTTGTAAAATGTAATATGTCTCAAATTTGTAAAATGTAATGTATTAAACGTTATAACTAATTGTAATAGCATACTGTAATCTACTGTGATCAATGCAGCACAGGGGTCCTAGGTTCAAGTACTTAAATATACAAATAAATATAAATATTACACACCGATGTGTACCGTTAACACTCAAATGCACGTTAATGTACATACTGAACTTAATATTAAGTTGAATATTAAGTTAAAAACCAATGTTTTGTTCTTGTAGTTCACTTGGACTGTAAATGTTCCGTTTCTGAAACTAAACCAAATACACACTTGTAGTGAAATGTCGAGAAACTTTATGGAAACATGGAAGATTTGAATTAAGTACTGCTTAAGAATCAAGAATGAGCCAATCAGCCAATCAAGAATGAGTATTTTCCCTAACCATGGTGTCTATCTTACATGGGCGATTGTTATGTTAAGTCAATCTCAGTTTGTAATCTACATCCAGCACTATTTTAAACTGGCATGAGTTAATGTTTTTTTTTTTTTTGTCGACAATTACACACGTGTTTAGTTAAGTATTAAGATTTAATAGTGAGTGGTTTGAGTGCTGAGTGGTTTCCCCACTTGCAGTTCACTCAGGTGTGAAATGTGCAGTTTATTGAGCCGAACCAAAATAATGACGTATGTTAGCTAAATATAGTGATGTCTGAAAGGAAAGGTGGTGGAGGAAATGTCAATAAGGTAATCAGGAAATCAAAAAAAAATGACGTACAAAAATCTATAAAGCAAATATTCAAAAATGGATAAATTCTCAAAAACATTGTGTAAGTAAATATTTCAACTTTTCCAAACTGTAGTACAAGTGCTAGTACAAAAATGTGACACATATGACACAAAGTTATTAGATATAACTACATGAATGAGCAGGTGTACAGGTGTTCCTATTAAAGTGGATGGTGAGTGTATACAGTATACAACAGAAGTGAGTACATCCCTGTGCAAGATCACTTAAATGTCAAACGATTCAAAATTGTATCACCTCTCAATAATCGAATTATTTCCAAGTTGACAAGTGGAGGGTTTGCTCTTATGAACAATCGAAAACAAATACCAGAAAGACTATAATGAAAACACAGGCCCCAGAGTAGAAACTCAATGCAACAAAAGTGAAGACACCTGTGATCACTGACACACAAGTTAGAAAACTT